ATGTCTTCGGTATGAGCCACGGTTGGTCGGACAAGCAGAAGTTGAAAGCTCTGCTGGCCTATGTTGAGCCAAAGATGAGAGTGTCGGTGACAAAGACGACACAAGGGCTGACAACATGGGTTGAGGTTAGACAAAAGATGCTGGAAGAATACGCGAAGTATGACGTCCCAACAACCATGCAAAATTTGTTGGACGTACGACGCTCCAAGTACGCTACCCTCGATCAATTCCTAGAGGATTTTGAGAGGGTTGCGCGGAGAGTACCCTTCCTAGACGAGGCCCAAAAATGTCATGTCCTATTGACTAACTTCGCAGAGGACGAAAGGAAGAGTGTGGTAAGTCGCGCTGCCCATTATCCTCTAAAGTGGGATGAAGTAGTTGAGATGGTCTGTGAGCTGCCTTCCGTGTCCAACCGAAAATGATCCTTGGAACAGATGAAAGCAATCACTAGTGCGAGAGAGGGAAATGTTGAGGCAGCTACGGGAGGGAACTTGAAGGCCGAGGAGATCCTTGATCTTCTCGTTAAGCTTGGTAGCTTCGAGAAGTTAACCCTTCCAGCCCCAGCAACTAAGCACTTGTTGGAGCCAAAGAAGGTAAGGAAGAAAGAAAGAAGGAGAGGCAAAAAGAAGAGAGTGAGAGTGAGAGTGAGAGTGAGAGTGAGAGCGAGAGTAGTGATGATGACACTAGGCGAAGGAGAAAAGAGAGACAAAGAAAGAAGCGCGACCGGGATTGGAAGAAAGATAATAAGAGCCGAGATTGGCAAAGGAGAGATGGCCCCTTCCGATGTTATTATTGTGACAAGGAAGGCCATACTATAACTCGGTGCCCTATACTAGAGAAGGAACTCGAAGAAGGGATTCTCAAGAAGAATGCCAATGGGCACGTCTGTGATGCCAATTGGAACAAGATAGATGTCCGAGTCAAAGAAGGGATGCGAGCAGTTATCCTAGAACAGGCTAGGGCCAATAAGGATAAAAAGAAGAAGGCTAGAGTTAACGTTATCACCTTTGATGGTATGCTACCTCCGAAGATAGTGGCTCGAGACGACAATCCTGGAAGTCAAAGTCTGAATGTATCTCATATCAACCAAAAGGAGGTCGAAGAGAAAAATCGAGAAAAAACTCAAAGAGAGCTAGACCAGCTGATTGATGGGACCAAGGACCTAGTGAAGGAAGGAAAAGGGAAGGAAGCTATTGGGAAGAAGAGAAGGGTGGTCTTGAGATCCGAGGCCGAGGAAGGGATCTCGATAGATGAAGTAGTAAAGAAATTACTCGAGGAGACCGAGATCACCCTATCCTGGAAAGAAGCAGTAGCCTTGGTACCCAAGTTTAGGGAAGAACTTAAGAAGATGGTTGAAAGGCGGAAGGTAGAAATCAATAGTCTAAGAATCTTCCCTCAGCATGTGGAAAGAGCCCCGCCAAGTACCAAGATGAGGTTTGGTAACATGTCGTGCGGATATTTGAATATCTCCGTAAACGACGTGAAAGTCAGAGCTCTAGTGGACTCTGGGGCCGAGATGGTGCTCATGTCCTCGGCCACAATGAGATCATGTGGGCTCGGGATAGATAGGAAGGCCAATCACCAACTTTCCAATATAGCTGGATTCCTGCCATTGGAAGGTTTTATTGATGATTTGCCTATTCGAATTGGGACTTTACGGGCCGAGATCCTCTGTTTTGTAGTCCCCAACTTGGATCATGATTGCATTCTCGGAGCCCCTTTCCTACATAGAATGGAGGCTTGCGCGTTCTTTGGCCATGATGGGGCTGCCTGACTCTCTCTCCAGGATCCTAATAATGGTCAAGAACAGGCTTTTGTGATAAGTGACAGGCATCATCCTCGTCATCAATGACATGTTAATTCTCTAAAGCATGGAGAATATGACAAGTTGATTGAGGAGGTAAGAGCAAAGCTAAAAGAAAGTGGAATAATAGACGAGAAGACGACGATTAGAGTGAATGATATTGGGAAGATGCTCAAGCTCCTGGATAAAGAAAAGGAGTTGGGCGACAAAAGAGAGATGGAAGGATTCAAGGATGCTGTGAGGGCAGCAAAAGTTGGCACGATGCAGCTCACCTTCTCTGCAATTGGTCCTTTTTTAGGAAAATAGCCACCGGGTCCAAGAGGAAGTATAAGCGCAAGGGCGTTAAGAAGAATCCGGTGGCAGTCTTGATAGAAAAGGACTATAATGAAGCATTAGAGAAGGAAAGGAATATAATTGAAGGGTTAAGAGAGGCTGCATTAAAAGGAGGAAGGATTACCCCAGAGAGGTTCAAGATAATGAAGGTAGGAGCCGATGACTTCCTCCTGCCAGCTGAGAGGGATTTCATATGTGAATTATGTCAGAAGTACAGTGGTGTCTTTTCCTTTAATGATGAGGAGAGGGGACGACTGGACGTTGACATGATCAAGATGGTTAAGATCTGGACGGTTCCTCACACGCCTTGGAATGATAGACCCACGAAGTATGCTCAAAAGGAAGAAAAGGAGGTAATGAAGTACATAAACCAGAAGATCGCCTCCAACGTTGCAGAACCACCGGATGGTGCTTATGCCAATCACTGGTTTTGTTTCTGGAAGCCAGGAGGAGGTTTGCGCTAGATACAAAACTTGCAGAAGTTGAATTCGGTAACTATTCGCGACGCGGGTAGCCTACCGACCGCGGATTTGTTGGCCGAGTCTTTCACTGGAAGGAGCATTTACTCCCTAGTGGACTTATACTCCGGCTATGATCAGTTCCCCATAGATCCTACTAGTCGACCTATGACCGCCATACACACGCCTAGAGGCCTCATACAAATGTGTGTTGTGCCTCAAGGGTGGACGAATGGAGTCGCGGTTGTCCAACGAGATATGTTGAAGGTCATGGAGGACATATGCCCAGAGGTCACGTTCCCATACATCGATGACAATCCAGTTAAAGGACCGAAGGAAAAGGATGAGACCTTAGTGGATGGTCGAGTTAGGCGGTTTGTGTGGGAACATGCTCAGGGAGTGGCGAAAGTACTAGAAAGGTTGTTTAAGTACAATCTAGCAGTTAGTGGACCGAAATCACTACTATTCCAAAGAGAGGTAACGATTTTGGGTTTCAGGTGCTTCCTGGAAGGGAGAAGCCCCGATCCTAAGAAGGTGGATAAAATCCTGAACTGGCCTATGCCTCTAAGGACCGTGGGGGAAGTAAGGAGCTTCCTAGGGGTCTGTAGCTTTTGGCGGACCTTCATTCCCGGATTTGCCAGGATAACCGAACCCCTTAGAGAAATGGTGCGACAAGGAGCTAGCTTAGAGTGGTCTGACCAAAGAGAGCAGGTTGCCCGGACGCTTCAAGATAAGTTAAGAGATGGCGGGGTCGTACAAGGAGTACCCTACTTCGACGATGAAAGGGAGAGGCCCTTCATCATTGAAGCCGACGGCGGCCCGATAGCATTAGGAGGAGTGCTTGTGCCGCGAGACGAGAATGGTAAAGAAAGACCACTTAGATTTGAGAGTCGCACTCTTAATTCGGTTGAGAGAGGCTATATTCAGTTCAGGAAGGAGCTTCTGACAATCCTGCACTGTCTCAGAGTGTTCAGACACTACATTATGGGACGAAGATTCATCTTAAGGACGGATTCCACGACAGTAATTGGGGCTGTTAAGAGACATCAGCAAGTAGATGCTACGGTCAGTAGGTGGATAACTCATATATGGACGTATGATTTTATATTAGAAAAGGTACCTACTGATAAGAATCGAGCTGATGGGTTAAGCCGCGTGGAATGGGGATCGATAAATGATGAATCTCTTGAAGAGGCGCCTTTTGTTGACGAATTCCTTATGGGGGACGATGATGAAGGGTTACCTCCTGCTCCCAATTGTTATACGGCCTCAGCCATGGCCACCAGTAGAGAAGACTGCTGGGGTGAAAAGGGAGATCCCTACCTCCACTACCTTTTGATTCAAGAGGATGAGGAAGAAGGGTGGTATGGGATGGTAGAACAAGCCGCTGTTGTAGCCCATGAGCTGGCAGAGAGTTCAAGGATGGTTGAGCGAAGGCTGAATGAGATAGAGGAAGAGTCGGAAGACTCTGAGCAAGATAAGGACGCTGAGGAGAGATTTAAGAAGAATGAGTATGATGGGGAATATAAAAGGATCGGTATGGTAATGGGCAGTAATCAGTTGGACGAATTCTACCATGAGAAAACAAAGAGAACCTTTAGGCTGCGTAGGGGTCACCTTTTTGTGGATGCAAAGGAAGGACTACCGCCACTGAGAGTAGTGTGTGGTAAGGAAARGCAACTAGAGGTGATCGCCGCACTGCATGAAGGTCTAGCAGGGGGTCATAGGGGTGCTGATGCTACATACTATAAAGTATCTCGACTATATCACTGGATGGTCTAAGGGATATGGTTATGAGATATTGTCAGTCATGTGAAGCCTGTCAGAAAAGGTCGTCTATGAGATTGATTGAACCCTTATACCCCACTGTTCTTGTTGAACCTGGTAGTACGGTTCACCTTGATCTAATAACTATGCCACCTGGTAAGGATGGAATGAAATATATACTAAATATGAGAGATAATATGTCTGGTTATGTTGAAGCAAAAACCATCCGTAAGAAAACAGCAAAAACAGTGGCAGATTGGATCGAGGAAATCTACCTAAGGTACCCTTTCATACGTGAGTTTGTGGCTGATCAGGGATCAGAATTCAAGAACGAGATGGTCAGAAAGCTCATGTTCAGACTTGGAGTCAGCGTCAGATTTGTGACACCATATCATCCTCAGGCTAATGCACCGGTGGAAAGAGGTCACATGACTCTAAAGGATGCTATATCAAAGTGGTGCCGAGGTGATTCCAGAAGTTGGCCATCCTTCTTGAGAGCGGCTGTCTATGCTGACAATGTGACTGTCAAACGGACGACAGGTTATGCACCTGTTACACTCTGATACGACCGGTATGCTACTTCTCTCATTGAGAACCTGGTTGAGACCTGGACCCATGAGGCACAGAGAGAGTCTTACTCCACAAAGGAGTTACTGAGACTGAGGATCAGGCAGATCAAGGAAGTGGACGAGGCCATAATCGAGGCCACAAAGAGGATGTCAGACAGCAGGTTGTCTGACCAGACACGGTGGAACAGCAAGAGGTACATCAGAAAGGAATGACTTCAGGTCGTGGATATTGTACTTCTGCGTGATACATCTCTCGAGACGCAGTGGACTAAGAGATTGGAGGCCAGGTGGATGGGACCTTTCAGGATCATCAGAGAGGTTGAAGGCAAGGCCTATGAGTTAGCAGAGATGGATGGTACGAGATCCCATGGTATAGTATCTGGCTCCCGGCTCCGAAAATTCATACTTAGAGATGCAGATCTGATTCCGAGTTCGGGCAGAGTGATGAGGCAAGGCCCGAGAACCGTCTAGCATCAGCCTAGACATGCTGAGACGCGGCCAGTGTGCCCTCAGCATTTGTTGGGACGTGGTGAGAGTGTCGCCAACTTCAGAGGATTATGAGCTGGGATGTGGACAGTGTTGCCGCCAGCTACAGATGATGATAATTATTGGTTGGGATATGGCCAGTGAGCCGCCAGCTATCGATGA